GTGGTAACATGTGATGGACTGGCATCCCATCAAGGGGGTACGGGGCTAGTCATGGTTGGTAACATGTGATGGACTGGCATCCCATCAAGGAGGTACAGGATAAGTTTGACTGTTGCCATTATTGAAAATTGAAATAAGTGTCCTCCATACTCTGATAGAATTTCTCTTGCATATTAAACAAAATATTATGTACAGTAACTACACTAGCTGTACACCAATTGGTATGCTGAGGTTGAGAAACCGAAAACAACTGAACTAGCAGCAAATAAACAAGCTCTCAAAACTGACCTTGATTCAGGTATGTCAAAGTGTCTTCTCCCATCTTCTTTCCAGGTGCTGTTGGTGCAGCCAATGTATGATAAAAGCTGCAGGAACTAATGATAGTATACAGCTATATTTTTATTTTTGGTTGGTAAGCCTTTTGCTGCATATTAAATTAACCAAACCCAAAATGCACTATGGGTGATGCGAATACCATCAGCAAAAGGTCACAACAATATAATTTATAAACGTTTCATAAACATCAAATCTGCATGTTTCTGCACTGCCATAATCTCCTACATTATTTTAATTTTAATATGAATAAAAATATGTTTCAAGCTTAATAAGCAACATGAAACATGCAGATGGCTTTTTTGGAGAAACAATCGCTTGATGATATGCAATTCCCATTTTACTTTATTGACTTACTCAAACAGGCGAGCAGTTTTGTTTGGAGTACTGGAATGGTTGCAGGAAATCATGTGTTTCTCTTGCTTTACAACACTGTTAAAAATAAACAGATAAAGGACTAAAAATAAAAAATAATAATTTTGGATCACCTTACATCAAACTAGAAGTTCCTTTCTGAATGATGTTGCATTACAACATTGGAATGTTAATTTGTTCAGTTGCTCTGACCAAACTTCCTGACTCATAGCAAAACTTACGGCTGAATTTGATGGTTGTCGGATGTTGTGTCTGCCAGGTCTCCAAACACAGGGGAATTTTCCTTGAAAATGGGTAAATCGAGCACTTCACTGTAGGTGGTATAAAATTAATTAAAGAAAATCAATTTTAGAAAATCAACAGTTTAATGATAGGAACATACAAATAGTCAAGAAGTCTACCGGCAATATTTCATGCATCTAAGAGGAATTTTTATGAAACACCAATACCAGTCATAATATACAGAGGCTAGGATAGGGGAAGGGGTTGGGTAATATATATCCTACAATTGATAAAGCAATGGATATGAAACTTGATTTTACTCGCTTATAATATTATAATATACGCGTGAGGAACTAATCTACCGTGCCTGAAAGGCAACTATTGAGTTATATACCAACTACATTACTGTAAAATAAATAACAATACTAATAGTTCTAACCATTATAAAAACAAACATTTAGACAATTGGAATATTTGTATAGAAAAATTGATGACATGCCTTTGAACAACAAGTTAAAAAAACACATTTATAAAAGACCATAAGACCAAGATAAATCAATACTAGTCAATTAGTGATAGTCAAATGCAAGATTGACAGTTTTTAAATCTCACAAAAAAAAAATCACATTTGGAAAAACGTGTTCAAATGCCACATCTGTAACTTAGGAATTTTTTCTGAGTTTCCTGTGTCCGCACGATTTTTCTTTCATACTCAAAAACACTGACATCTTTATAATCTCTATATCATTCTCTCGTTAGCAATGATGATCGAATTAATCCAACAAACAACAGCTTAATGTACTGTATGTGCTTTACATGTACAGTTGAATTTTCTAAGGCAATGACATTTTTTCTCCCAGTTCTATACGCTTTTCAACACAAATAGCTTACTAGTATTAAACTTGCGAAATCCATATAGCGAAATCTGGCCAAAGAGCACGAACTATACAGTTCGTTAATTCAGGTAAAATTATTTTTCCCTCGGGCGAAGAACAGACATAAGCCAAATATTCCATAATTTGGTAAATATGTTTACCAAAACTATCTGTGTGTTTATTAATTTAAAAAATGTACATTTTAAAAATCTTAAGCTTATATTACTTAAATTGAACAAAAATAACTTTCACAACATTTGAAAACACCTATTAAATGCGGACAAACCTCATTTTGTAAGCCCCTGGGTCAGCACTACTAATATCATTTCCTAATCCAGAAAGGTTGAATAAATCAGTTGACAGTCCACCCTCCACATTGAGATCGTCCATGTTCCAGCTTGGATTACCAGCCATTTTGAACTGTAGACAAGCATTAATAGGATTCAAAGAGTTCCATGAGCATTGGAGAGGCGGAAACGCTTAGTTTTGGACCTTGTGGAAGAAAGAAAAGAGCGCTACATGTGATGAAAACGAAAGCAAAACAACTTCTTCCATCGACCAACTGGCACAAGGAATTTGTCAATGACCGAGCACGTGGACCTTGACATGAGGGATTAGGAACGAATCGCACAGGAAACCCAAACATAACACAGGGAGCCCACAATAGTATTTATATTTGGGAGTGGTTCCCCTGTATAATAAAATAAAATCTGCCAAGTATCGCTAACAAGGGAGACTGCTAGCAGGGAAGAGTTAACCTACCCTGTTTGCAGKAGGGGTAGGGTGTTGAATTTGCAGCAGGGTACAATTTTCCAAATCAGTTGAAATTGGGGGTACATTTTTTGTAATGGCAAAATGTAGAGGGGTACAGTTTTAGGTTTTTTAGGCAATACAAATGATTTTAAGTTGAGCTACACTTTTCTAGATGATGATGGATGGGGTACATTTGTATTGAAAAATATCAAAGGGGGTTACAAATTTTATCGAATCCACACCTCCCCCCCCCCCCCCCCCCCCCCCCCCAACTACAATATAAACTAAGGGAAATTAATTTAGGATTGCAGGGTATCTTTATCCCAGTAATTAGAAAAACTTGTGTTGAATTCCATGGGTTTTAGCTTTGAAATGCAAGAGTTGGGGGGAGTTTATAATTTCTAGGCTTTGAGATAATGGACTAAACAATGTGTATGCACTATCTACAGTGTTTTAACTTATATTTAGAAATCAAATTGGAAATTAATGTTTTTTATATTAATTATGGTTCACAAGTCACTCCAAGAATTAAGCCTAAATAAAGTTACCAAACAACAGAACTATAAACAAAAACTACAGATCAAGATGTACATTCATTTTGATAAGATTCAAATATTTACAGTGCATTGCTACATATAAATGCAGGGGTCAAAATTAACCTTTTTGTCCATTAGCGATTAAAGGTGCAATAATTACATGGAGCAACTTTCTCTGCAACTTGTCTCGCAAGAGCTTTGCCACACAAGTTGCAAGAGTGTCTACACAGTGACGGAGACCTAATCATTACCAAAAGTAGAAACGAATTCTAACTTTTTGCAACAATTGCTGCAACTTGTCTCACAACATTTTTAAAATTGTGCTGTAGGTTACATGCTGCAATGCTCCATGCAACTTGTGTTGTAACGCCGTTACGAGACAAGAAAACTGCTCTGTGCGTAATCACGCCTTAAACAATTGAATTTCTGATTCTAATAAAAAAAACTTAGTCAGATTTAGGAAACGTTTACTTGCAAATGTTTGCTAGCATATTTTTTTTATCTAGCAAAGTTAAGAAAAGGACTAGTACTTTGCTAGTTGCTGATTTTGAGCCCTGAAATGTCATGAATCCCATTCCATCCACCAATGACCATGATCTTCAGAATCAAACCCCATTTATGGAACCTCAAGGAATAAATGTCCTTTTTTTGATTTATATACAAAACATCTTTCCAGAATACATATACTTTAGTTAGTACATTGTTGTTGGTTACTAATAAATCTTAATTTTTATGTTTTGTCAAATAAAAACAAATCCCATCCTGCTAGTCAGCCAAGACCTCTTCAATCATAGGCTTGCTAGAAGTGCAGCTTTCTTCCTTATTAAATTCTTCTAGTCTGGTATCAATCTCATTTCTAACTGCTTCAAGACTTCCTTCGTCAAGTTCTTTAAGTAAGGAAAGGACAGCTGAAAGAATATTGGAGTTCTATGAAATGCAAAGAAATATAAGTTAGTTAATATTGTTGTAGTTCAACTCAAGGGTATGTCCGGAAAAGTGGAGCAAGGTGGATTGTGACGTACATGACCATCCCTGAACCGTTTGCCTTTCTAAGTGACAGCCACCCCCTTGAAATCTGATCCTATGGATCTATCACTGCAGACATATGCATACCCTAGTATCTGTTGGTGTAGGTGAGACTGATGAAGATCTGCTATCTGGTAAAGTCTTGATAGCACTAGGCTTTTCTTTTGGTTCATCTAGTACAAGAGGTTTAATTCCCAATTCTGCTCTCAGTTTACTAATGAACAATAATGCAAGATAATATAAATTAGCCATGGTTATCTTAGCTTGTGTTATTGACGGTGTAATAATGACGTCACAAGTAGATCTTGAACACTGTGCTTATTAGTGTCAAAGTGCTTACTTTGTTTCATCTACCAAACTTGCCCTTGTAACCTCCTGTTGATTGGTACTGATGGAAGGTACACATTGGTCTAAGTGGGAATAAAAGAGCAAAAACTTTAGTGAATCTAATGAATGAAGATAGGCTAAGCATTAGCCATTCCAAGCTATGAGGAAAAAAAATGGTTGAGTTTGCATAACAGTGCATTGTGGGAAGAAATATACACCATCTTGGTAAAATGTTTCCTAAAAGATGTACTGTTTATGCAGCTACGAAACGCGATCCAGTTTTTTTCTCATCCTCAGAATTATCAGCTAATTAATTGACAAACATGTTTTATATAATTTTTTAAAAATATAAAAAAACATATATTTGGGAAGCACGGGTGGCGTAGGCCCAGGTTCGAGTCCCCACGAGCTTGGTGTCGTATGTGAGTTGAGTTGTTTGTTGGTTCTCTCCTGTGCTTCAAGGGTTTTCCGGGTTCAGCGGTTTCCTCGCTCCGCAAAAACCAACTACTAAATTCTAATTTGATCCTAGGAGAAATTCATGATAGGGCTAACCTCAATATCTCCTTTCGCACTCAGATGCAAATAAATTAGTGTTTTTTTAAAAATATGATTGATCAATCTCTTAATTATGTTAATAATTATAAAATTATTTTTGGTGTTTTCATTGCTAGTGCTGATTGGAACAAGCTGCGACAGGGAAATCAGACAACTGTCAATCAGACAAATTTACATTACACTCTGATTGATGACATCAGTGTTATATTGTCCAATTTCTTGGTCACTAACTGTTGTCTTGATTGTGCCTTGCAATGAAAACAGTAGTAAAATGGTTTCCTTACCTGTTGAGTCTTTGGAATTACTTCTCTTCAGACTCTGACTGCTTTTTGTACTTCCCTGATATGAAAATCAGATAAAATTAATATCTTTTTTTAAAAATAAGTTTCAAACATAAATTGAATATTATGTGTGTGTACTCTTAGCACTAGTCTCCCCCACAGCCGCTTTCAGTGTCATCACGCAAGGCTTTCTCCCCTACTCAGGGGAGAAAGCATTGCGTGACGACACTGAAAGCGGCTGTGGGGGAGACTATCTTAGCACTTGTTCAACCTTTTTATGACAAGTAAATGTATGGTTAGAATTTTTCCTTGATCCTGATTGGCTGACATTGATAATCAATAGCAGTGCTTCTTTGGCTAACATGTCTTTCATGTTCTGCTGATTCCTACATGTTTACAGTGCAACCTGCAAAAGTACATGACCACATATAAAGTATTCACATACTTCAATGCACAGGCTTTTTGCTGTCAAATCAGCTTAACATTTACAATCCTTATATTTGGTAAAACCAGGGAGAAAATGAGCAGTTTAACATACAGAGGCTGTGCATAATTAAATTGATGTGATTACATTATTGCCGGTCATGATTTTGCAGGTCACGCTATAAATCATAGCCCCCACACATCATGAATGTGCATCATTTTCTGTTTCTTCATGTCAAGCAAACATTGAAGCAAAATATTATACTTTAACTGTTATTAATTATTTTTATAAAAACAGAGTGTAGTACTACCATAGTAGAAGCCATAGTATCACCAAGGTCTGGATAATCAGGTAAATCAACGGGCGTAGCAATATCATCTCCTGTAGCTGATGCTGAAGATACTTCACTTTCATCGATAGCTTATAACCAAAACATCAAAACATGGATTAATTTATATGTCCATTAGAAATACTGTACACATAGTTGTAGTTCTTAACTCTAATTTCAAAAGCAAATTTCTATCTGCTCATAATAGCACTTTTGTTCGCAATACTTTCAGAGTATTAGTGAACTTTTATTTAATGTTTTTTAATCAGAATTAAGCTAATTTCTTTTTGGAAATGTTTCAAGCATTGAGTGTCTTAAAAAATAATCAATAATTATAGCCTTTTGCATCAATTTTCTCATAGTTTTTCCATCACTTTTTCTCTGGGATCATGTGGCCTGGTATAACTTTTGTATTAAATGACTTAAGGTCTGTTCCTTTTAACATTTTGTATTCATGAATCACATCATTACTGTATAATATATATTCAGTCATTCCTGAGCTTCTTACCAACATTATCTAAGCGAATCAACTTTGGTAAGTTCTTGATGACAGTCAGACGATAATTGGGCCCTTCTGCACATGGATTGTCTGATAACCATAGTACCCGAAGTTTTGGAAGCTTCTTTAAAAAACCTATCTCATTTAAGTCATTTATGCAGTTTTTGCGTAAATAGAGCTCCTTTAGTCTTGGACCTGCACCAATAAAACACAATTAATGTAGAAGTGTTCAAAAGTCATATATATACCAATTAATCAATAGCAATTAAATTAAATTACATGAAATAGAGGCTTTGCCCCATCACGTGCTGGTGCCCATAATGCAGCTTGGACTGCCTGTGGTTAGGTGGAAGATCAATAAAATCTCTTTGCTCTTGGGAATTAAGTTCTTTCTTATAATAATAATAATAATAAACTTTATTACTGTGTCATGTCGTTCTAGCTTATTTAAATAAACTAATTGGGGACACCTATCTAGAACCCTATAAAACCAATAAAAATCTTATCCCATGTTTCCAACCCTTAAAACAACCCCTATATGATATTTACAATTATCT